ATACACAGCTTTTCGTTCCAAGAGAAGGAGAATAATATTGTGATATTTCAAAACTCCCGAAGTATAATACATACTTTTATTGAAATACTTCAAAAATATTCAAGCACTCTGGAATTATTATTCAAATACTTTATCGAAATATTCACAAATACTGAATTGAACATAATATATTCCATATATCCAGGGTTTCTATAAATTATCGTATTTCGTTTGTCATTGAGCGTACGAAAGGAAATTCCTATAATGTTCGTGGAACATCTTGCGTACCTGGGGAGGATAGGTAAAGGAGGTATAGGTGGCTTTTGAAACATATTTTCCATTTGCTGCTATGTTTATTTACATATATTGAAACGGCCGAACGTGTTATAGTTCGATCTCCATAACCAAAAGGCGGCAAATCAGAAAAATATTCCAACTGCCAGTACGACATTACGATCTTTTATAGAAATCCTGTATATTAACATGTTAGTAGAAACCCCTTGTAGCAGCAGGTACATATTGATGGAATATACTCGATATTTGAATACTGAACAATATTTAAATACTGGGAAGTACTAGTTAATGCACAGCATTGCTGCCGAATCGACCGGAATTGAAAAATGATACAATATCTTCCATAAATGTCCCATGCCCTGAAAAATCGATTGTGACGTCATTTATATGTCACGTGACCACTGGTTTGACGGTACATTAAAGGAATAACTCAAGTTGAGAATTTCAATTTTCTTACAATGTCTCACAATATTTCATACGATAACAAGAATATTCTATTTATTCAAAAATATACATGGGCTTAAACAGTTATTAAGTGCCTTGTACAGATTACTATGCATCTGAGAATATATTCTTCTTCATTTTTTTCAAATGATTCAAGCGCCATCTATCACAAATCGAAAAAATTTCGCAAATATAGCTCTCGTAGTTTTTAGTGTAGCAATAAAAAGGGGGATTTCCCATATGAGATTTTAAAGTTGCGGCCCACCCTTTCCCAGGGTTCTATCAATGGATAGATTTTCCAACAACGGTGTATTTAAATCCTCACTGTTTGTTGCATAGTAAGACACAATTTTTCATTATTCATTCTTACAGTACGTTTGTACGTTTGTAAGATTATTGTCCACACAAGTATCTACTCAGTACTGAGGAAACAAATGATATATCTGATAAGAACTGTAGGTGATTTACTATCTTCTATGACACACATTTTCAAGTACTATTACGCAGTACATGACATGTAACATCAATTTTATCTACAAAAAAAAAACGGTTTATTTGCTGATGGTTTGAGTCATATGCATGTTATTAATATTGTCACATCTCGAAATATCTAATATATAGATTAGTAATAGTGAGAGCTTCGACATATTACATCAATTTTTGGGTGCCTCATTCTTGGGAGCACTCTACATGATTGAGTTATTTGGAAATGTATGCACGACTGGGCTCAAAGTCGAACTTTAGCGCCTGCATGGTTCAGCTCGTTCCGGTGGAGTTTTTCTCCAGTAATTTTTGGTGGAATAGGTACCATTTGATCTTTCTGCATGAGTCACGTTCATAATCTTGCTGAATAAATTCAAAATCATAATTAATTAAGGCATTATAATCGGCGTTACAATTAAGCGGAATTCACTACTCTGATGCGAGATTCGCAGGAAAGACACTCGAATCTAGTAGGTATTTATCTAAAAGGAGAGCATGAAAAATGAAAATCCTCTGAAATTGAGAATTGACATTCTCTCTCAAATCGGATAAAATAATATGATGTATTATGATATAAAAATATAACACCAATATGTTCAGTATTGAAACTAAAATTGGAATGTATAGGAGAAGTATACTTGTATAAACTCTGATTTTGATGAGCTTGGAACTTTTTTTTGTTGTGTTTGTCATTGTCAGGAGAAGGTTCTTATGTAAGAAAACAATTGAAAAATTCTAGATGGTGGATCCAATATGGCGGACGAGTTTTGTAAGTATGATCCGATTCTTTTCAGAATTTGTATCTGGGGGGTTTTCGGGTTCGGAGATTATGATTCTCTCGTCAAATTTTGGAAATTCAATATAACTGAACCAATATGGCGAACGGGTTTAATAATTATGATCCGATTCCATTTAAAATTGGTATCTGAGGGTTTTCGGGGCGGAGATTATGATTCCTCTATCAAAATGAGGAAATTCTTAATTCAAGATTTCTTCGTCAGAATTGGGAAATCCAAGATGGCGCATCCAATATGGCGGACGAGTATTGTAATTATGATCCGATTCTATTCAAAATTTGTATCTGATGGTTTTCGGGGTCAAAGATTAGATTCTTTAGTCAACATTGGAAAATTCAAGATTGCGGATCCAATATAGTGGAACGATTTTTGTAATTATGTTCCTAAATTGGAAATTTCAAGATGGCGGATACTATATGGCGAACGTTAAAATTGGTATCTAGTTAATTCCGGGGTTGGACATCATGAGTTTTTCGTCAAAATTGAGGAATTCAAGATGGCGGATTCTATTCAAAATTTGGATCTATGGGGGATTCGGGGCCGGAGATTATGATTCTTTCATCAAAATTGGAAATTTCAAGATGGAGAATCCAATATGGCGAATGAGCTTTGTAATTTTGATCCCATTCTATTTATAAAATTGGTATCTGGGTATTTTCGCGATCAAAAATTATGATTCTTTCTTGAAGATTGAGAAAATCAAAATAGCGGATCTAATAATTATGATTCTACTACTATACTATTCAGAATTTTTATCTGGGGGTTTTCGGTGTCGGAGCGGAGATTATGATTCCTCCGCCATAATTAAAAAATTCAAGGTGGTGGAGACATTTTTTATAGGTAGGCAAACTAAACAGGAGTAGAAAATAAATAGTAGTTTGAGGAACTGAGAAAACACGGTTTTATGGTTAGTCAAACTAAAATAAAATAGTAAATAAAATAATAAAAGTGTTTTTGGGTGTATGATAAATTGACATTCATCATACAGGGCGTGGAAAGAAATTCTGAATTGAGACATCATGAATCTGCGATTAGAGGTCTATAAAAATCACAAGTTTCCATCGTTCAAGTTAGAACCCCCTGATTGGGTATGAAAGTGTTGAAAAGGAATATTCTCATATAAATTATGAACATACAAAAATGGATATATATTTATATAAAGCAATACATTGAGAATTCGCATTCTCTATGTGATGAGAATATCAACTCTTTTTCAGTTTATTCAATAGAAAACAACTACTTTCCTGGCTATATGCCACGACGAACATTGAATTATATCTATTGAACATATTGGTAAGTTATATTTCTTTATCATTATACATCATATTATTCATCCGATTTGAAAAAGAATGTCAATTCTCAATTTCGGAGGATTTATTTTTTATTTTTCATGTTCTCCTTTTGGATGTTCATCAGATATAATTCAATGTTCGACGTGGCAAATAGCCACTTTCCTGGTTAGTTGTTTTCTGTTGAATATTCAGAATGATGTATGCATATACATATTTTTGTCTGAAGGACAATTTTAGAAGATTTTATATTTTATTTTCAAACTCTTATCGTGTGTGTTCAATAGATATAATTCAATGTTCGTCGTGGCATATAGCCAGGAAAGTAGTTGTTTTCTATTGAATAAACTGAAAAAAAGTTGATATTCTCATCACATAGAGAATGCGAATTCTCAATGTATTGCTTTATATAAATATATATCCATTTTTGTATGTTCATAATTTATCTGAGAATATTCCTTTTCAACACTAATAAAAGTGTGTTGTTGAATATTCAACTGAAAAGATATTTTCTAGAAATAATGTCTATAGCAAAACAACGTTTGTCGGGTCAGCTAGTATTATTATAATAATCTGTCATGTGAGTCACATTGGTGGTTACTTCACTTCGTTTAAGCTAAGTGTTGATTCTTTCGGTTGCAGAAAAAATAGCATGTTACATTTGGATCAAAAGTGACATTGTTTGACAAGCGAATTTGCGAGTTTCACTTTTGATCCTAATAAAACAATCTACTATTAATTGAAATTACCAAGCCAATTAAAAACAACACGACGCCCATTTTGTTCTTTTGTGTGCACGAAAGGTGAAATGTACCAGGACTGCCAAAAATATGTAAATATACTATCTATTTTGTTATGTCTCACATGTTTGACACAGAATAGTTTCATGTTTGAATTATTTATGTTCTTTTCATTGATTTCTCTCTTATTATGATGATGTTTACGTTATCTGCAATATTTTCCAATTACCCTCCCCAAGAATAAAATGTATCGACCCCCTTGTATTTTGGTCTTAATAATATATTATGTATAATGCTCAGTATAATGGTAGCACAAACGTTTGGAGAGGAAAATACGATGAAACGCTTTAAAAAAATAATCATTCACCAGCTTCTTTCGCTAAAGCTATTGTGTTGTTCTAATCTTTTGTTACTGCTTGTGTTATGTGTGTTCGGTGCAATCATTTCTAAAGTAAGTAAACTGATCGGTCAACATTTTTGGGGTGATCTTTCCCACATTGAGTGATGAAATGGAAGATAATATATGTATAATCTTCAAGAGAGCCTAATATACATATATACACTTCAACGATAATCCGATAAGCTTTCTGACAGGTTATTTTGATTATCCAACAAAATTGAGATAATTACCTTCCAGGGTATGACTAACAGAAAGAAGTGAAATACACCAAAATATGTTCCCAGTATACACTGTGTCTACGAGAGGGCTCATCTATGGTTCTTGTAGAACCAAAACCAAACTTGAAGAACACATCTACATCGAATAACGATTGCTTAAAAGATCTAAGAATCGTGAAGAAACTCCTCATCAAATCAGAAATGTCGTTTTATGCTCTAATCGACTTGTCCATATCTAAACGATGTTAAATCTGGAGAAGTAGTCATGTGCAGAGTTCATTTTGGTTTGGGAAATTTCACTTCAAAGATTTTCAGACTATTCTGATTTGGTTTTAATTATTGGTATATTTTTTCAGTTCTGGGAGGTAATATCAGACGAACATGGAATCAACCCAGTGGGCGAATATGAAGGTGATTCCGATATACAACTCCAGAGAATCAACGTATATTACAATGAAGCATCTGGAGGACACTATGTACCACGAGCAATCTTGGTGGACTTGGAACCTGGTACCATGGATTCTGCCAGATCAGGCCCATACGGAAGACTCTTCAGGCCTGATAACTTCGTTTTCGGTCAATCAGGAGCCGGTAATAATTGGGCTAAAGGCCATTATACTGAGGGAGCTGAATTGGTCGATTCAGTATTAGATGTCGTGAGGAAAGAATCAGAGTCTTGTGATTGCCTGCAAGGATTCCAACTTGCCCACTCTCTCGGTGGAGGCACCGGTTCTGGTATGGGCACTCTACTTATTGCGAAAATCCGTGAAGAATATCCAGATAGGATGATGAATACTTACTCTGTTGTCCCTTCTCCAAAAGTATCAGAAACTGTCGTTGAACCGTATAACGCTACCTTATCGGTACACCAACTGATCGAAAACACAGACGAGACCTTTTGTATCGATAATGAAGCTTTATATGACATTTGCATGAGAACACTCAAGCTAACTTCGCCCACATACGGGGACCTGAACCACTTAGTGTCTTTAACTATGTCAGGTGTTACTACTTGTCTTAGGTTCCCTGGACAATTGAACGCAGATCTCCGTAAACTTGCTGTGAACATGGTGCCGTTTCCTCGTCTACATTTCTTCATTACCGGTTTCGTTCCTCTTACTCCACGACAGTCACAGAAATACAGAGCTCTTACCGTTCCAGAGCTCACTACGCAAATGTTTGACCCCAAAAATATGATGGCTGCTTGCGACCCTAGAAACGGAAAGTATCTCACAGCGGCTGCCATGTTCAGGGGCCAAATGTCTATGAAGGTAGTGGAAGAACAGATGCTCACTGTGCAGAATAAAAATAGCAGTTATTTCGTGGAATGGATTCCCAACAACATCAAAACCGCAGTTTGCGATATCCCACCGAGAGGTCTCAAAATGGCTGCTACGTTCATAGGTAATTCGACAGCTATTCAAGAACTGTTTGCTCGTATATCGGAACAATTCACGGCGATGTTCAGGAGGAAAGCTTTCATTCATTGGTATACTGGCGAAGGTATGGATGAATTGGAATTCACCGAGGCCGAATCTAACATGAATGACCTTATTTCCGAATACCAGCAATATCAAGATGCTGGTTATGATGAAGAAGAGGAATTCGATGAAGATGGAGGAGACACAATCATCGAAGAAAATTGATGAACGTTTTCAGTGTCAAACCTTTTTCTATTTATGTAAATAAAAATGTGTTCAAATAATAGTTATTTTTGTATCTAGTGCACAAAATGCTACTTTTAAAAAACTACTCGAGATCAAAGTATTCCGCTCAAGAGTTGCAAACAAAATTTTTTTACAAACGTCAGAAAAGGTAGTTCTATAGAGTAACATGCTTAGCTGAATATAAAAAATTGTGTTGAACTGGCTTAAAACGCCTTGATTATTGTTGACAATTCAGAAATAAATGATTTGTTGGAGTTTTGCTCGATTGGGGACCAGAAAGTTCAAATACAAAAATCTCATATAGTTTAAGTATGTACTTCGCGCATCGTTTTACTTCGCGCATCGGTTTACTTCGCGCACTGCTCCGCACATGGTGTTTTGGTAACGTAGGAAACTGAAAAAAGTGTCACTTCGCAATTTGTTATATCAATGCGCGAACCTTGTCATTTCTTGGCGTTTGTAGAAAAATAGCATATTAAGCTTTGCTCGGTTATGTCAAATTTCCATATTGAACAAGTAAATCCAGCAGAACCAAAATCGTGGTATCTTTAAATGCGTGTGTCACATTTGGTGCCAGATAATTTTGAAATCGACGGATTAATGCCAAGTTAAGTTAAAAGAATAAAATTATATTTCTAGAGACCTGACAACAACAGCGTACCTCTGAGCAATTTTGAAATAGGATTCCCCAGTAGTTGGTATATTTTTCTGCAAACCAACTCAAAAGTCGCATATTTTCATTTCAAAATGAGCTCTTGAAATTGATGTTTCACTTGCTGCAGAATGTTTGTATGAACATTGATTTATTAGGAAAAGCAGTGCCACTATAAGGCAAATTTGCGCTTGCTACCGAAATAATTGATATCTTATTAATAAGCACCATTGTGGACTTACTTGACCACTTCAGAGTCAGCAGCTATTTCATCAGCTGTCAGCTTACTCATTTTCAGTTCTTACCTCGGTTCTTACTAATTGAACTTTAGCTTCTAACCACTAAAAGTGTTTTCAAGCAACATACTAACTAATTATTTTTTTCTGCAACCGACACAGTCGTCCATTTTAATACCAAAATTAGCTCTTGAATTTACGTTTCTATTACTGACACAAAATAAGGTATGTTGATGGGCAACACATTTAGTTTCTAGGAGCTAAAGTTGAACTTAAGCTCCTAGGAACTAAAAAGGATGTACTAGAGGTCATCAAGAATGAACAACATTGTTATGGTTGGTTATTTGGGTTCGCAAACCTGATTTATTTCCGATTTCGACAGATAGTATAGTCTTCGAGTTTTCACACTAGTGTATGTAATCAAGGGTATAGTTGAGTATTTTTGTTTTGATCAGGAAAGCCTTCACGATTCACATACTTGCTTGATCAGTATTTCATTCGTTATTCTCGGGATGGATAATTTGTTTTTGAATAATCATGGCCAGCAATAGTTTTTTGTATCAAACAACGATATTATTTATCTACATTTGATTATCAAGCCAAACACAGTGGGTTATGGAGAGAAATAAATAATCGCTATTATTATTGTTGATATGCTCACTAACCTAACATTTTCCACGTCTTGTTCCTATACCTAGTACTCTCTCGGTATTTGCCATTAGAGCACCTGGTCCATACACCAATATGTCACTCTGTGGTTGTATTTATATTGAAACTACAATTCGAACATCCTTGAAAATCAAATAAACCTGCTGTTAACGCAGGTAGAATATTCTCACCACACAGAATATTTGTTGCGTTTCATACATATGGCACGGCATTGGTGGTTACTTCACATATTTATTTGAGTTAATTGTTTCGGTTGCAGAAAAAAATTGCATGTTTCATTCGGATCAAAAGTGACTTTGTTTGACGCGCAAATTTTGCTTTCGCTTGTCAAATAAAGTGTCACTTTTGATCCTAATAAAACAATCTACTATATTGAGCAAATAAGAGCTATATAAGAGCAAATTTTAGAGTCTGCTGAAAATGATTGATATGTGTTTGTGTTGCATTCTTCTTATATCATGATCTCAGAGGATTAATTGCAGTTACATACGTGCAAAGCTAGGACACCTATTTATAGGCTTTATTTTCAGTTCATACAAATTATACCTAATTAAGTACAATTATTGTTCAGTATCCTAATATTTCAAGTATTCATCATTACCTCGATCATGACCACTTACACCAATCATCTCGGAAAATTGGGTCACTTCAATTGATTCTTCTCCTTTTCATTTCAAATGGCCTTAGTTACCAGGACCATCCGGCCAAATTGACGCTAGTAATAGTAAGTGAGGTGAGCTCTTCTTCTCTTCTTCTTCTTCTTCTTCTTCTTCTTCTTCTTCGTTTTATTGACTTTTCCCTTTCAGAAAATTGGCCCAGGCCAAGTAGATAATATGATAGATAGGTAAATAATACTTGCCGACGTGCTCAAGTGAGTCACAATAGTGGTTACTTGATGTCACTTGGTTACTCGCAAACACAAAATTTGGCTTTTCAAACAAAATTAAATTTTACGCCAAAAAGTTTAATGATAAACTCTACTGCAGTAATAGTAACACAAGTGTGACAAGTTGTATGTAAGAAAAAGTTATCGCTTTCATTCCACGTAAAAAAAAACTGCACTATAAGAGTTTCCGTGATGAAGTGGTGTATTTCGTAACACAAAACTACCCACCCTTTTTACAGGTTCCCTTGCTTCAATGCAGAGGCAGATCTTCAATAGCCACCCGCAATACGTTTGTATGGTTAATGTAATGTTGTTCCGCTGTATATCTATTTTTCTTTACCAATCTATTGGCAAAAGGAAGCAGATTGACGTACAGTAGGTACGTAAGTATCTTCATCTGGTTCTAATACTTTCATTTTTCATTGACCAATTTGTGTGAGGGTGTATTTTCCACCATTAAACATGAATTAGGATTGGCACATCTACAAGTACAATGTGAACCATGAAGTGCGATTGTGAAAATAGGAAGAGTGAAAAATATGTTCTCGAGAATATTGTTATTTTTGAACGGTCCGTAAGTTATTTCATGATTTGAGACTGATTAGTTCAGACATAGATTAACGACTCCCCCTTAATCTATGGTTCAGAGCTTGAATTTGAAGAAGTAGAAAAAAATATCACAATATTTCTTCGTGTTGGGGATTCAGTAAAAATTATTACCTTCAATGAGAACTCTTCGTTACATAACGGTATTCAGATGGCATTTGAAATGTTAATGTTGACATCCTCTGTCCGTTAAGATTGTTTAACGGCCAGCGGCCGTTAACTGTTCCATAACAACACGATGTTAGGGCTTTTCTGTAGAATTACGAGGTACGTGGTTTGTTCTTCCTTCCAATCAAAATGTAATCTTTCAGCATGATTACGAAAAGTTTTGAACGACACACGGCCGATACGCAAATCATCAATTATTTGCTATATATCGACCTTGTAACGTTGATAACCTTTAAAGACATCTTTAAAAAATGGTATACATAAAACACTTGTAGGAAAAATAGGTGACGAAATACTTACTAACATGAGATTGGTAAGAACAAGTTTGAACAATACATAACAGGTAAATCCACCAATGATGTACCTGTTATGTATTGTTCGAACTTTTCTTACCAATCTCATGTTAGTAAGTATTTCGTCACAAGTTTTTTTCTACAAATGATTTATTTATACCATTTTTTATAGATGTCTTGTTAAAGGAAATCAACATTTCCGAAATCTCGGCTACGTAACGAAGAGTTCTCATTTAAGGCAAACATTCTGACCGCATCCCCAACACGAAGAAATTTCGTGATATTATTTCAACTGTTTGATATTTTACCTCAGCTGGTCAGTCAGACTGCCCTTCTCCTAAAACAAATATCCTTTTCCCGAATTAAGGCCTTTTTTTGTACCCCTCAACATCGCACGCCTATGGTGAAAGAAACTAAACTGCTAAATACTTCATTGTTCTAACATACAAACACCACCAAAATTTTAATGAAATTGCATCATTAATAACCGAGAAATCAGGGTGTATTCATGAAAAGCGAGTCACATTGTATACAGGGTGAATCTGAAAGTGAGGTTTTCTTTTTAACTGGATATATATCTCCCCAAAATAAGTTGTTTGGCAAAATATTGCTGCTATAAAATATTTGAGATAAGGGAGGTACAGGTATTTAAAGGTTTCAAGAAGATTCTAACTATAAAACATTTTGTTTACATTTTCTCGAAAAAGCACAAAAAACGTTATTAGTCGAGCATTAGATCTACACTTGCATTATTTCATCAGATGAATTAATCAAATACCTTCTTTCTTATTTTCAATCTATTAATTTTCGTTTTAAAGTGATTTTTTCATCATATTTTCTCTAATAAATGTTGAATTGATAAAATTACATTTTCAATGTACATAACCTTGAAATGCCTCTACCTCTGTTATATTACGTTTTTTGCGTAAACAATTCTTGACCAACCAACTTATTTTGGCGGGATATATACGCTGTTGAATGAAAAACCTCACTTTCAGATTCACCCTGTGTAAGGGTGTCTCGAAATTATCCTGCCAAACGACCAGAAATAGGAAGAAAAAGTTTCAATGAACATGAGTCGAGGAATGTCTCCTAAGGGAGCTACGGCCCCGTGGGAGGGGACTCCTGAAGATGATATTTCTTGAATTTTTTTCGAAACGCCCTGCGATAAAATGATGCTTTTCGGTACAAGTACTAAACTTGCCATGCCCAATGCATTGAAGATAGAATCATTCCAAAATTGCATTCAGGAGTGTATAATACAGGGCGGGAAAACATTAAATATTGCTCTAACTTTTTTACATGCATATTTTTCGACAATGTATTCTCGGATTATGAAAATCCACACCGTGTCACTCTGCTCCTGTTTCGTATCGATCAGATGTATCATTTTCGAGTGAAATCGATTTAAATATATTGTTACACTCACATCTTATATAACGTTGCCAATTTTCAAATCATAGTGGCTTTAAAAAAATCACCTACGCAATTTTCACCAAACGATCTCATAGAAGGGTGTATAATTGGATATTGATACGAAACTACTTCGATTTTTGTGCATTAGTTTTCAATATACACTACGAATGTAAAAATATTTTTAAATCGAATTTACTCGAGAATGATACATTTGATCGATACGTAACAGGAGTACCTTTTTTTGTAAAGAGATGTGGATGTTCATGATCCGAGATTAAATTGTCGAAAAATATGCATACAAAATAGTTTGAGCAATGTTTATACATATAATGTAGTGTCGCCCTGTATTATACACTCCGGAATGAAATCTTGAAATAGTTTTATTTTCACTACATTGGGCATAGAAAGTTCAGTTCTTGTACCGAATCGCATCATTTTATCACGTGGCGTTTCAGAAATATTCAAGAAATATCATCTTCAGGAACCCCCCTAGGAGACATTTCTCGATTAATGTTCATTGAAACTTTTCATCCTATTGTGTTTCCTCTCCTGATGAATTTTCAGGGCAAATAGAGAAAACATATTTATAATCTATCCTACAGCTGAGTAGCTGAATTCACAAACTGCTGCAGTTGGCTGTCAAATCAGGCAGCGATAGTTATTTCTTAACGGTTCGGAATATTCCCGAATCCTGGTGGACCATTGCATATTGAGACTAAGAGTAAAACTGTGTATGAATTTGATAATGTTTCAGATACAGTTTGAGTCATTATACAAAACTGGAACTAAATTACATTTATGGATTGTTTTTCAAAATTTCGACCAATGAAGCTTGAGTGACCAGGTTATAGCCTCACGAAAGTGGAACAAACATTTTTCCTATTTGGCCCAAGATTTTGTATCAATTCCAGTAGTCGTAGATTGATTTCTTGATAGAATTGAAATCTTTTGTGCGTAATATTTTGTAGACAATAGGACAACAATCCTACCGGTGAAAATGCCTCAAAATTCTATTCACGATCTGATATGTTTCGAATAATTTTAGGAAAATATGAACAAGTTTTCCTTGCAAATGGTCATCTCACTTTACTCATAGCGAGATTGATATCATCCAGTATTGAGAAAGGTTGTAACGTTTATATTTTTTCTTTTCAGTTTTGGGAGATAATATCAGACGAGCATGGTATCAGTCCAGATGGCAAATATGAAGGAGATTCAGATCTACAACTCCAGCGAATCAGTGTGTATTACAGTGAAGCATCAGGAGACCATTATGTTCCACGCGCAGTCTTGGTGGACTTGGAACCTGGTACCATGGATTCTGCCAGATCAGGCCCTTACGGAAGACTCTTCAGGCCTGATAACTTCGTTTTCGGTCAATCAGGAGCCGGTAATAATTGGGCCAAAGGTCATTACACAGAAGGAGCAGAATTGGTAGATTCAGTATTAGATGTGATAAGAAGAGAATCAGAGTCTTGCGATAGCCTGCAAGGTTTTCAGCTCACCCACTCTCTTGGCGGAGGTACCGGTGCTGGTATGGGCACTCTACTCCTCTCCAAAATTCGCGAAGAATATCCTGATAGAATAATGAACACCTACTCAGTTGTCCCTTCCCCGAAAGTATCAGAAACTGTCGTTGAACCTTATAACGCTACTTTATCATTGCACCAACTGATTGAAAACACTGACGAGACTTTTTGTATTGACAATGAAGCTCTTTATGACATCTGCATCAGGACTCTCAAGCTAGCTTCACCCACATACGGGGACCTGAACCATTTAGTGTCATTAACTATGTCAGGTGTTACTACTTGTCTTAGGTTTCCTGGACAATTGAACGCAGATCTCCGCAAGCTTGCGGTAAACATGGTTCCATTTCCTCGTCTACATTTCTTTATAACTGGATTTGCTCCTCTCACTGCACGCCAATCCCAGTTATTCAGTGCACATTCCGTTCCAGAACTCACTACCCAGATGTTCGACTCCAAAAACATGATGGCCGCTTGTGATCCTAGAAACGGAAAGTATCTTACAGTGGCAGCCATATTCAGGGGCAGGATGTCGATGAAAGAAGTGGAAGAACAGATGCTCGGTGTTCAGAATAAAAATAGTAGTAACTTCGTGGAATGGATACCGAATAACATTAAAACTGCCGTTTGTGATATTCCACCTAGAGGTCTCAAAATGTCGGCCACTTTTATCGGCAATTCAACAGCCATTCAAGAATTGTTCACTCGTATATCAGAACAATTCACGGCGATGTTCAGGAGGAAGGCTTTCCTTCATTGGTATACTGGTGAAGGAATGGACGAACTGGAGTTCACCGAGGCAGAATCTAACATGCAAGATCTCATTTCTGAATATCAGCAATATCAAGAGGCCAGCTGTGAAGAAGATGGAGAGTTCGACGAAGAAGAAGGGGGCGAAATCATCAATGAAGAAGACTGAATATAATTCAGTGCTCTGCTTTTTTATGTTATATTTTTAAGGACGAAATATTGTGAGTGTTTTCAATATATTTTTTATTTGCCTTCGTTAATTTTTTTTAATAGCTACAAACAATATAAATCCAATGTCTACATTATGAAACAAGATTTTTACAGTTATACTGAAGATGAGTTTCAAGAAGTTTGAATTCAATTATTTCTTTCTTTCAAGTACTCGCAGAATTTATGTAAGTATTAATTGAATGTAGACATCAATTTGCAATTGATTCAAAGTATAAAAGGCTAAGGTTTGTTAATGGCTTGTCATAACGAAAATTTTGAGAAACAGTGTTGTGTCCTATGTAAACAAATACATGAACTTGAAATATGGTTGGCTTGTGAAGGTTACTACCAATATGAAACTTGATCCTCAACTTTTAAATTAACTGATTGGAAGCTATCCCTAAATAGAGGCCAAATGTAATGAAAGAAGTATATTTCAACCTCGCGTCTCGTTCGCTGATGATGCTGAATTTAAATAATATTTTACACGATGAAGTTAATATATTTCAACTATTTGACTTTGCTGCTTTGTGCTAGTTACTTTGACAGGTCGTTCAGGTTTGGGTTTGAATATAGGTTATGTTCTGGAAACGTTTTTAATTTTCGCGTGCACGATGACCGACCCTGGAGGCAAAATATTGAAACACAACCTCATTCTTCTGTGAATTATTGAAACACAATCTCACTTTTTTACTTGGTTACAGAGGAATCAAAGGATTGAACTAGTTTTTCACAATATTTTGGCATACGAATCCTGTTTCTTGCGTTATTCATTAATTCAAGCATGCCTTCGCATAGTGCTGTTGTACAATGCACAAAAAATGCAGCAAGAGACTAGGGAATATGATTTTTCAGGTAAATAGTAATCTCACATAGTTATCATTATGAAATGTTGTCATTCCTTATTAAACCAGTCCTCCCGATTGATTGCATGAATCCAATTTTCTGGCATCATTTTAGAAATTTCAGATGTATTTCTATCTATCGTAGAAAGAATTTCGATGAGAAATCAGAGAAATTACCAAATTTCAAAAATGAAAACTATATGTGAGTGACTATAGTAGGTACTTACTTTCAAATCATATTGTACCAACCGGATTACTTCGTCTTCCGCTGCAGTTTTTGTGCATTTCACAACAGCATAATGTGATGGCATGAGCGAATTGATGAATAGCGGAAAAATAAGATTCGTATGCCAAAATAATTGTGAAAAACTATCTCAATCACTTGTAAACAAATAAGTAAAGTGACGTTTGTGTTTCAATATTTTGCCTCCAGTGTCGGTCATCGGACAGTTCTTGCACGCAACCCATGAGGCCTAACATCATTTAGGGGTTTTCGGAAACTTACTCGGGTTGATCGAATCCCTAACCTGAACGTTCGGTTACCTAAACCAAGTCACCTACCTCTGTTCGAAAACTTGAGTTTGCTCACTCGATCACTGACTCGGCTTGATTTTTTGTGACCCTACAAAAAAGCAGGGTCGCTCATTACCAATTATACAAAATATGTTTCGAAAAACGAGGGAGTTTGCCACTCCACGACAAAAATATAAAAATAAAATAGTTTGCATTTTGGTAAAAATTTTGATCGGTGATATAAATTTTCTTCTCATTCTCCCTAATTTAATTTTGTATAATGCGCATAAGAAAATTTGGGTATATAGGTGTGTAGAGTGAGACAAGTTCACCAATCACCAGGTGAATATAAATATTTGTAACCATATCATATATATATAAGTACTTGAATATAATGTGAACATTTTCGTAATCAAATTCACGAAACCACAGAAAAAATATTGAATTCTTTGTTCCTAACCTGACGCGTTCGATAACGTTGAACACCAATGATTGAACACGAGTAGGTGATCCGACTTTTTTGCCATGTGACTTCTCTGGATCGAGTTAAACCTTTTATTGGCCACCAGATCGCGCTACTGAAATGTGACGAGTCAGAGTTGGTAGAACTGATAAATTTCTTCTGTTCGTGTTATTATTGACCTCATTGAGAGTTGAAAAACGTAAGTCTGTTCAAGTTTGTCCATAATTTTTTCTGAATATTTTCGAAAAACAGGCAAAAGCCTTATAAGGGCTATCCGGCAAAAATTTTAGGATTTTTGACATTTAGGTGTTTTCGGAAACTTTGGGTTGTCAACTCGATCCAGAGAGGTCACGTGACCAATAGCTCGGATCACCTACCCGTGTTCGACGCTTACGAACGTGTCAGGTTAGTAACACAGAATATTATCTTTTTCCTATGGACAAATATTGATATTTAACTGGGAATTGGTGAACTTGTCTCATGTGTTGTCGCACTTTTTTGGCTCATGAAACCACAAACTTCACACGTACCCAAATTTTCTTCTCTTTGCATTAATAAATCAAATAATAAAGATTAAAAAGGACATTTATATTACCGATCGAAATTTTTCCCAACATGCATGTTGGGAAAACTTACTTTTCAGATCCAAATGAACGATTTGGCCCGCAGCACCCAAATTGTTGGGCATAAGGGTACGAATTTCGGGGGTGGAGGGTTAATTCGGGAATATTTTTTTAAAAATTAAAAATGAAGCTGCAGAGATGATCCAGATGTCCATTTCATATGAAATTGTCTTGATAATCGTGATGGTGAAATGATTTCAGCTCTACGATAACCAGAAGTGCCTCAATTTTCGCCATTTTAGAAAATGTCGTCTGATATTGTGAGAAATTGACATGCTTGCATGATTCAAGCCGTTGAGGAACGGTTTTACATGTTTTAGGGGTCTCTGAATACGAATTCACCAACAAAACTATATGTCAATATCATTTTAGAGTAAGAATTTTGAAAAATATTTCTTATTTAAGTCTTATGACTAGTATAACATACCGTATTGAAATGCACGATGCTCTCGAACATAAAAGGAGTTATTCACTTTCGTGCGCTCCAAGAGACAGAGAAAAGTGAGTTTCAGTAGAAAACATGTTCATGTTCAGATTTAGAAGACGAGCACAGAATAGAACATTTCGATGCTGTAATTTCACTTTTTCATGTTTCGAGACAACAATTCTACATGCGAAACCATTGATTTTCACGAAGAATATTCAGATCATTATCTGGAAAAAAGAATATTTCAGTTTCGATGGACCATTCAAAGCAAACTCCAGGTTGACTCACTGAGTGTTTGATCACTAATATTTTCAATTTGTGCATCCTATTTGGCAGGGTAATATTAGAGTCACTGGATGGTATTAGGGTAATATATGCTTCTTCGGAATTTACAGCGTTATTTTGTTTCACATCCATACTTGCAGCCACATTTATACAAAGCCCTGCAAGCGAACTAGATCGATCTCGGAAGGCTCACTCCAGAACGGAACCTTCTCCACACCTTTCCTTCAGGAAATGGCGAGGGGGACGGTGGTGATGAATTTCCAAGGGCTCTTCCTCAGATGTGTCCACTGTCACTGGGGACAGCAGTTCCATTCACATTTTGAAGAAAACATTCAGAGAGGGCACAATTGCAACTATATGTTTGTTTTCTGTGTACTGCGACTTCATAAGCGTTCCTTTTATGAACTTCAGAAAAAGTGATACCCTCTCTGAGAGAAGTCTCTTCTGCCGGAATTCTATACTTAATAGCTGGGCATGTAGGGGCGAATTAGACAAGTCTCATCTTCTGGTAGAGCCATTCTGCGTTTCTTGTATATATATTATTATTAATAGTTTCATGATATTTCCATCTAAATGATGGGTCTCACATCAATGGAGTAGTTGAGCTCTATTTTCTGGCACTGCCTAGATAGCACTAGATAATTTATTATGAACAATTATTATTGAATTGAAGTAGCTTCTAATGGAAATGTCATTTTCTGAATTGGAACTTGATATTTCCAACTCAAAATTCGGAATTTGATTTTTTCGACTTCTCTACTCATCAGTCGAAAAGTTGAACTGGGAATGTAATGTTCCTTCATGATTGAACTTGAAAATTCCGACTACAAAATCGAAATTATATTTTTTTAAGTTTCAAATTCTCTGTTTGAAGTCAGAAAATCAAATATTTACCATGAAACGTTTTCTTATGAAAGTTACCCAAACTCGATTTGCCAACTCTCAAAGGATTGGGAGGGGTTCTTCGGCTGAAATACTGGTATTTTACCTGAAGAAGCTGCTGTGTTAGCCTCTGTGTTAGCGAAACATGTCGTGTGATTAAAAATTTTGTGGAAATCTTATCGTTTGTGAAGTTTTTACATTTACTATGGATTTACATTTTACAAATTGTTATTAACATGCGAAATTTTACGAATTTCATCAATCTTTCTATACTTCAATTTTACATTTCGTGTACCCTCAGATCAACAAGGAACTTTATTACTCAAAAACTACCTACAATGATCGTCTTTTCTCTGGTTCTGTATATTAGGTGAGCACGTTGGTTGGAACAAATTCGTTAACTATTTACTTGACAAACTTTTATCTGACACAAAAAAATATGTCTTCATCATATTCCATACAATACAATATAAATAACTGATTTCTGCCCCAAAAAGTATTATTTTTGAAATTTTTGTAAAATTTTACGTATTTGATAGATGCGTATCTCAGCAGGAGATACATCATTGTCGATGTTATACGAATCCTGTAAGTATTACAATGCCTGACAAGCAGAAAATTAATCATGTGTTTCATGCGACAAGTTGAAATGGATGAAAGAATCAAAAAAATATGTACTTCAAGAATTTTAAATCTTTTAATCATCTTAAAATTCATGAAAAATAGGAACAATATGATCTTGAACACAGTGAGTTTATTTTGACAGTACCGAAATTTTATGTTGGCCGCGGTGCCGTCTACATGTTCGTAATAAACTAACACCTGTTCTCTGCAAGTTGTTCAACTACTCTTACAAATTGGGGATATTCCCGTCCGCGATTTTACTAAATATACTGTACGCTAGCACATACCACGCCCACTGTTATATCTCATCTTCAAAGTACTTTACTTAGGCAAAACTCAGAGACTATTTATCCTCAACGAACTAACCTATCCCTGATTGCAATA